GAAGAAGAAGAAGAAGAGGAAACTACTCAGAAATAAATAGAAGAAAATAAATAATGCAGAAAAGGAAAAAAATTATATAAAGCAAAAATATTCCCAAAGAAACTGAATACAGCAGAAAAGAAATAACTAGATAAACAAATTACTCAAAAATAAATAGAAGAAAAAAAATACTATTCAGAAATAAATAGAAGAAAAAAATAAAGCAGAAAAGGAATAACTATATAAACAAATTACTCAAAAATAAATAGAAGAAAATAAATTATATTAAGCAAAAAACTTCACGAAGAAACTAAATACAGCAAAAAAACTATTCAGAAAAAAATAAAGCAGAAAAGGAATAACTATATAAACAAATTACTCAAAAATAAATAGAAAAAAGTAAATAATGCAGAAAAGAAAAAATTTTATAAAAAACATGTTGGGGAACTGCCCGGTGGGCCTGCCAGACCTTGGGTGTGCAAATACATACCCAGTAGGGCCAGCAGGCTCACAGGGTAGCGCGCCCTAATTAGGACCAGAATCCTGCTTTATAGAGGAGTTCAAAAGGGCAGCCACGGCTGGGTTTATAAACCAGTGCGGCTGCCCTTCGCTCGGCGAGGTGGGACTAAACGTAGCGCGTAGCGGGTGGCAGCGCACGGGCATTAGTACCGGTTGGAGGCTCCAACCGGTACTAATGTGTTGCCCTTTAGTACCGGTTGGAGCCACCAACCGGTACCAAAGGCCCACGTTTCCCGCCGCTTGGGCTGGCAAAAATTGGCCTTTAGTATCGGTTGGTGGCTCCAACCGGTACTAAAGGCTCCCCCTATATATACTCCACGTACGAAAAATCAGTTATCGTCGCCACTTCGTTCCACTCTCGCGCGAGACATCGATCTAGCAGACGCCGCCGCCGCCGCCGCGCCACCGTGTCGTCGCCCTCGCCGCCCCCGCCGCCCGTCATCGTCGTCGTCGCGCGCCCCCGCTGCCCGTCGTCGTCGCCGCCCCCGCCGCCTGTCGTCGTCGCCGCCCCCGCCGCGCCCGTCTTGTCGCCATCCCCGG